AAATTTAATTATCTTTTAAGATAATTTTCCCAAGAGACAAATCCCAAACCTTGAGTGTAGGGCTACCCAACTCATATTAGATCAATTTTTAAGATCATTTAGGAACATATCATAAATATTCTTTTTTATATAATCAAATTGTTTATAGTGTCTTCCGATCAATTTTTGGAGAGATATGATACTCGAAAACCTCTAATCTTAAATGAATTCAATTATCTTTTAAGATAATTTTTCAAAGAGACAAATCCCAAACCCTAAGTGTAGGGCTACTCAACTCATATTAGATCAATTTTTAAGATCATTTAGGAACATATCATAAATATTCTTTTTTACATGATCAAATTGTTTATAGTGTCTTCCGATTTGATCAATTTTTTGAGAGATATGATACTCGAAAACCTCTAATCTTAAATAAATTTAATTATCTTTTAAGATAATTTTTCTGATAGACAAATCTCAAACCCTAAGTGTAGGGCTACCCAACTCATATTAGATCAATTTTTAAGATCATTTAGGAACATATCATAAATATTTTTTTTTACATGATCAAATTGTTTATAGTGTTTTCCGATTTGATCGATTTTTTGAGATCTATGATACTCCAAAATCTCTCATCGTAAATGAATTTAATTATCTTTTAAGATAATTTTCTCAAGAAAAATCCTTCACGTCCCTTCTCATAAGCCACTGGAATTCGATGAAGGTTTATTCTCTAAATCAAGAATATTATAAAAATTTTCTATGATTATACGATTCTTCAATTGTTATTAAGATCGATAAAAAGTTAATATTTAAATTCTTATTTATAATTTTTATTAAAATTTATAAAAAAATATATTGGTATGAATCAAAATAAATTACACATAAATATGTATATATACGACGCACTTTAGCTTTGGACTTGGCGATGGTATCATTAAAGGTTGATTGGCAATCGCCTAATAGCTTTAAACTTTAATGGATAAGCTAAACTATCACGTGCTTTGTACCAAACAGTCACTAATAATCACGTGAGTGGCGTTTGAGTAGACGTCACGCAACAGGATGCCTGCTAATGAAAACTGGCCCCCCGGTGGGACCCGCCCGTGGGGACGCGTCCAGCTTCAATCACAAGGCAGGTAGACAGGACGGCGACGGAAATAGGAGTTACTCGTTCTCTTAGCTGCACCGTCGGTGGCTTTAAAATTCGTGATCGAATTCATGGACGGCGGATCTTCGTCCCCGTTATTGTTGTGGGTAAAACATTAACAGAGATCTTAGTAGTTTTAATTATATCGGAAATAAATAGATAAGTGACCAAAATCCAAAGAAATAAATAGATCTCTGTTAATCAAGTTTTTTGACATTTTCTGCAGACAATTAGATCGATACCATGTTGCTATTACTGCCTATTGACTTTATCCCTTGTGCTGGGAAGAAACTTATTAAAGCGAAATATTCTTTCCCCTCTTTGTGTATCAAAATGGGTTCCTTATCAAAATACTAACTTGGTATCCAAATGAAAATATCAACCATAAATAGCAAAGCAAATAATCAATCACACAATAAGACATTTTTTTAACGTGGAAAACCCAATGTGGGAAAAACCATGGGACAGTAGTCCACCTCAAACTTCCACTATCAACAATAATGATAACAGGTTTATAGTAGGTCTTCTCTAGAATAACTAGAAGATCATAATAACATCAAAAACATAGATCTTGGTTCTAGCATATCTTTATCACATAGGTGGATCTCCTTTAAAGAGAATTCTAGGTCTCACAAAATGAAGATCAGAATAACATAAAAAATTGGTTCTAGCATATCTTCATCACATAGGTGGATCTCCTCTAAAGAGAATTCTAGGTCTCACAAAGTGGATATCACAGAAAAATACCTTAGAGAGGGTAAACTGCAGATCAACACCGTTAGGATTGTAGAGTTTGCTGCAAGGATTCTCCACATAAAATTTGGGCCGAAACTGATAATGTTTGGCCACCGATCGTCGAGCAAAAAATTCAGAAACCTTACTTTCTCTCTCTATTTCTCTCTCCTTCACGCCGCACGCTGCAATTTGATCTATTTTCCTCACCTTCTCTCTTCTCTTTTTAATTTTTTTCATGAATTGATTTGGGCTCAATAGGCCCAATTGTCCAAGCCCACGTATGGGCTGGACCCAACACCTTATGACATATCGAAATGACTGTACACCTTATGACATATCGAAATGACTGTATCAATTAGATTACAGAGAGAATATATTTCAATTATAAAAAATGATTTTTAAGTTTTGAAATGACATATTGATCCATCCATTTTTTTTTAATTTAGAGTTCACATAATCCAATTAAGTAAGATTACTTATTATTATTTTTTTTAAAAAAAATAATATTTTTAATCAATTATTTGATTTTTAAAAATATTTTGGAATGTATATTAATTGATAAAAATTAATTTTAGTGGGATATAAATGTAATTTTATAGAAAAATTCAGATGAGAGACAGGTCAAAGTATTCACTGTGTATATTACATGTGTAACCCCTGTTCACACACTCCCTTTGTCCACATCCCAATGAAGAAGACGAAGCGCGGAGGAGGACGAGAAGAAGAGAGCTTCGAGCCTCCACAATTAGCTACCACACCATCATCGTCGCAGAAGCAGCTTCTACTCACAGTGATCCGAAAGAAGAGACTTGTCTTTTATGATTTCCCACAGAAATGGCGTGGAGGAAATGGCCACAGATGTGATTGATGGATGGATGGATGGCGGTGGAGATGATAGCATAATGCGTCTCTCACGCTCATCACGAAGGATAAAGAAGGATTGGTCGCCGATTGGACACCATGGATTAAACAAGTCAGGGAAGATCACTGTAGCGATATTGACTGATACCCTCCGTACGTGCAAGTTCTGACACCCTTGCATGCCTCGATCCAAGCAGTAGATTTGCTATTCCATTTGGGAGCACAGTTAAAGATGCTCTGTTCCCTCCATCGGAGTTGCGGAAAGGAGATGGGAGGAGGAGGAGGAGATGTTGTTTTCATTGGATGAGGAAGAAGAATCCTCAATGTCCATCTAAGAAACAGTGGCTTGTGTGTCGAGCAGCATGTGTGTGCGTGGAGAAGCTACAGAGTCGATGGTACTGAGAGAGTTGGTGGAGGTGGAGGTGGTGGGGCTCCGACGTAGTGTATGTAATCAATGTGCCAGTACAATTGAGGTCAAAAGTTTTGGGGAGTGGAGATCCATAGAGTAGAGTAAAGAAAAAGAGAAGGAAAAAAGAAATGAAAGAAATCAGAGGAGGGCATCATTTCATCCTCCTAAGCTCTCTTCCCAACACTCCCAAGCATCATTCTCTCTTTCTCTCCTTTATTTTCCTGTTCCCTTTGTTCAGAGAGAGAGAGGTGTAGGATTAGCTCCCATCCCTAGGCGCAGGTTACGTGATTCCTTGGGTTTACAGGCTACCTTTCACACGCTCATTCCAAGTTTCTAACCTGTGCTGCTGCTGCGTCCTGAGAAGAACGCGCAGTTAGTTCACGTCTCTTGACAATGATGAGAGGTCTTCTTCCTCCGTCCTCCGAGAGTTATGGTGTGATGGATCCACTCCCTGCCATGAATGGAACCAGGGAACATTCCTGGTGATGGACATGTTCTCTCAGCTTGGCTTAGTGGTAACCTTTTACAGCAAAAGAGGTTGCCGTAAGCTGAAGCAATCTGGGACTCGAGGTGTTCCTGCCAATCGACTCTGCATGCGCCGAGATGCCAAAGTCGAGGAAACATCAATCATCTCGAATGCTTGAAGGTGCAGTGCTTCGAGGCAACAACAGGAGAGAGAACACATTTCGACATTTTGGGATTGGATCATTATTGACTATTATTCTGAACTTGTAAACACATATCGACAGATGACAGGAAAGCCTCACAGCAGCTCTCTCATCTCCACAAGTCCTAAGAGAAACCAAATACAAGTCTCTAATCCTTGCTAGATGATATAAAATAAGAGACCTTTCTATCGAAATTGCACTTGCAACATATATAGCCTTTCACCTAAACATAAAAACAGAGAGATTTAAGGAGGAAAAAAATAGTAAATTACCCCATGTTTTTCATGTATTTGCAGCTGACACTCTCCTATGCCACTTCGAGATGAGGTCAGAGGCAGCCAACGTGAGGAACACCACGAGCACCAAGCGATGGAGCTTTTTCTCCTTTTTCACATAATCGAGCAGCTGCTGCTAGTGTTCTCATCACTGAAGAAGGTGGTGTAAGGATCGCTGTGGTGATGCGGTGTGGCCGCCGGAGGCGGCGGCGGTGGCATGTTGTAGTACATCGGCACCGGTGGCCGAGCGTAGCCCATCATCGGCTGGAACGCGCGATCCTGCGCATTCATCATCATCATCCTCTGCTGCTGCTGCTGCTGCTGTTGCTGCTGCATCATTGCAGCTATGTACTGCTGCTGATATGGGTTGGCGTTGGCGGCCGCGGCGGCGATCACCTCGGGCGGTGGTGCCACCATCCCTCCCTGGTAATACCCGGGCGGTGGACCGCCAGCCGGGAGTCCTTGCATCGCCGCTGCCGCTGCCGCTGCCGCTGCGGCGGTCGGAATATTCCCCATCTGGCCCATGGGGGCGTGCATGTTCCCCATCTGGTGTCCCATGCCCACGCCCATGCCAGGGAAACCTTGGCCCATCTTGCCAGGATTGGCCATGGGAGGGCCCCCGGCACCCACTCCACTATTCACAGGCCCCTTCCTAGCTCCGTTGGCTGGATTGATGATGTTGCCATTGGTGTTACAGTTCCCAGCTTGGCCACTGGCATTGCCACTGCCACTGGGAATGCCCTTCTTACTGTTAGCACCATTCTTACCATCTTGAGGCACGGCCCCACCACCATTCTTCCCCCCACCACCACCAGCACCACCGTTCTTGGTGGCAGATCCACCACCGCCACCACCCTGGTTTGGGTTTCCACCACCACCCTTTTTACCGCTTCCACCATTACCGTTCTTTGGCTCATTGCCGTTACACATGCCTTTGTTCTGAACCGGAACGCCCCCGGCCTTATCGCCACTCCCTCCCTTCTTATCATTCATGGCATTCCCATTCGGCGCCGCGACGGGCGGCTTGATCTTGAGGTTCTTGAAATCGTCATCGAAATCGGCGTCGAAGCAGTCGAACTCGTCCATCTCGTCGTCATCAAAGTCGTCGTCGAAGTCATCATCGTCGTCGTAGTCGTCGCAGCCACCGGGGGGGAAGGCGGTGTTCACGGATTTGGGATCCTTGTAGGGTGGGAAATTGAACTCCTTCAGCTGCGGCAGTTGCAGATCTTTGGCCCCTTTCATCTGTTGCAGCTGCTGCAGCTGCTGCAGCTGTCGTTGAAGCAGCAGCTGCTGCTGTGGTGTTGGCTGCGGGTGCGGGTGCGGGTGCGGGTGCTGACCCTTGTGATCTTGCCCTCCGCCTCCAGCCCCACCACCGCCATTTCCAGCCTTTTGGGCCTTCCCGTTGTCCTTCTGTTGCCCTTTACCACCCTGTGGTTGTGGTTTCTGGGCCTGGTTGCTGCTGTTGTTGTTACCGCCACCCTTCGGAGCCAGCAGCTCCGCATGTTTGCCAGCCTTGGCAAGCTTCTTAATGAGGGTGGCAGGATCGACGTTACCCGAGACGGTCACCTTCCCCTGCTCCGCATCTATGCTGGTGGTGTACACCCCTGAGACCCCAAAGCGACCCGAACCAGGAACAACAAAACAAAAGGAATCGAGCGAGGAAGACATCATCAGTTGCTTAGGAAAAAGAGAAGGAAGCAATTCCATAATGACAATGTCGCAGCTCAAGTACCATCAACTTTGTGAAGCAGTTTCTTGACCTTCTTCTTACAGCCATCACAGTGAATGTTCACTTTGAGAATGCACGTCTGCGGTTGAGAAACGAGAGCATTACAAAGACGACTACGAAAGCCGGCACATCCTTCATGGTGGGGAAGAGATCCGGAGTCCAGAAGAAGCAAAAGCAGATGTATACCTGTATCTTGAGGAACTTGATGTCTTCTTCTTTACTCATCCCTCCCACTGCTCAGAGGAACAATAGCAGAGTGTTGGCTGCGATATTGGGGACAGGAGGAAGACAACAAGGGAGGGAAGAGATCAAGAGGAACCACACAGAGCAGCTCTTTATTCAGTGAAGTCTCATCACTCCAAGGAAAGGTTGGCCGAGGAGAGAGAGACAGAGAGTGAGAGGAAGGGGCTCAGAATTGTTCTCAGCTCAAAAAGATGCAGACTTGGGGAACGCAGCATTTGGGCCATTTCTCAGGTGATGGGTGGGACTATAAAACACTTGGCTTCCTGCACGTGACAGCCACGTTCCCTTCCAATACAAAGCAGATCAACAGCACCTAAAGAAGATTATAGCATATAATATATATAATGGCTCTATTATTCTTATAATTCCAATGCAATAATAAGGCCTTTTTTAATTAGTATAATAAACAGAAAATGGATTTTAGCCACTTTGAAGGTTAATAATACTATGAGTAGATGGATTGATTAGAATCTTAATTCGATTTAAATGGGTTGTCATTAAATGTAGTCATAATTAGGAGTCTTCTTTCATCAATGTCTGGTGACTGTGATCAATTATTGTCAACAGCAGGGGAATTGATGAGCAATTTGTTGTGGTCAGTGGAGATCAGACTGCATTGGATTCTATGACCTCTTCTTCCTCCTCCTCCATACCATAGCACAGTGGTTGCAAGGGGAGATTAGGGAGGCATTCAGCCATGGCAAGCAATCACATGAGAAAGCTTTGTTTGTGGTAACTGCAACTTGCAGCTGCTCCCATGCCATCAATGTGGTCTTCTTCTTATTCACATCCACCAAACTCCTTGTCTTGTAGCCTCATCCCAAGGCAGCAACAGAGCTTTGTCAGAAACATGACATAGAACCTGACTCATCTGCCATTTCTGTCATGAAAGTTGTGGCCATTTATTCCTAGTTAAGATGCATTTAAATAACAGATTATAAATTTGATTTTTTTTTCTTACTTTAAAATTCTTTAAATATTTTTTTTATGTTTTATATCACACAAATTAATTTTTTTTTATCATGATATCAGAGTTGGATCATTAGATTGAAACTTGTAATGATCCCCATATATTTTATTTGATTTTTTTTAGTACTTGGGAAATACTAATTTATATGTGATAACAAATCCTAATAACTGAAGTGTTCAGAATTATCAACCAATCTTTATCCTATGTTATATTTCTCTTTATTTTGTTCCATGTTTAATCAACACCTGTGTGATAGATACTCTTCATTTTATTTAACTCATACTATTCTTTGGATTTCTTCCACACATCAAGTTTTAATTAATTACATATGACAAGAAATATTAAGGCTGAATTTCTGAAAATAAAATTAACTTTAAATTTTTTATAAATAATATCCTAATTTAAAAATAAATTATCTTCATCATCATCATCTGTATAAGTGTAAAGACAACCACATCTTGGGCCATAGACGAAGAAGGAGGCTAAGAGGCATAACTCATGTGGTTCATAAAGGTAAGACAAATATAAGGAGGTAAGGGTAGGGGGTTCGATGGTGATAATGACGGTGGCGATAGATTTGATGGAGATATAGGTAAAACGATATTTTTACGATATATTTTGTTAGAATTTTTAAATGTCAATACGTTATTTAAAAAATTTTGAAAGTTAATTTTTTTAAAAATTATCTAAATATTAAAGTTAATAAATATATTAGATCTATTCTTAGGGTCTATTCATTTCAAAATGTTTTACTGGAGGTAACAACAGGAAGAAAGAATTACTTATGTTGTAGTTTTTGTATATGTTCTATAATTATGTCTTATTTGAACTGTAACAAGGGCTAACATAAATATTCTCATCAAAATTGAATATAAGAAGAGTTCATGAAAATTATGTTAGATTTAGAATAAATATGCATAGTCTTCAAAAAAATTATATTGTGATTTTAATATTAGTGGCTGACAAACATAATATGAGCATAATATTTAGTAAAATGAAAAAGTAAATGGTGCCATAGAAAGCTGATGCACAGGAAATTAGAGTCATGTTGCTGCAAATTGCATATATATATACATATATATATATATATTATATTGATGGAAGAAAACAATCTTCTATTAAAAAGGATAAAGTATAATAATCTATCTGAAATAGTATATTGAATTTGTCTTGTGCATGCCAATTTATCATGCAAATAATATTATTATAAAGGATAATATAAAAAATGATCTTACAAGGTGAGCAGAGAGCAGTGCAGTGAATTCATTCACCCAGGCTTTTGCTGTGCTTGTTTTAATTAGGTGCACTTTCCAATGCAAGGCACAGTGGTCAAGTCAAACCATTGAGCTAAAGCACTTTTCTCTCTCTCTCTCTCTCTCTCTCTCTGTCTCACTTTGATTGAGCTCCAGGATGTCATCTCTCATCTGAACATACTTTTGGGACCAAAAATATTTCTTTGCTGTGAAGGCATTTTTACATTATTTTGAAGGGCTGCCAAATGATATGTTCTAGTGAATTCTATCAAATTTACTTACATCTTCTAATGTTCCAATTAATTCTCTCACAAAGTTTTGAACCTTCTTTACATATTTATTTACATCAAATTATAATTTCTGAGTTTGAATGTACATAAGATAGATGTGATATCAAAAAACAATGGAAAGGCTCCTAATAATATCATTCAATCCACTCCCAGTGAAAGACACCAAGTCGAGGGTGGGTTCAGTGAGCATCATGAGGACATGGCAGCAGACATGGAGGCAGGAATCATGGAGGAGGTCAGCTGGTACGCTGGCCGTGGGACTGACCAGTATGGGGCGCATGTGTTCGACTAAATGCCGGATGGGGACAGGCCACTGCCTGCCCACCCCCCACTCCGATGCCTCACTCACTCATTTGAGGTTGGTGGCGACTCAGTATCCGATCTATAATTCTGCTTCGGCAGAGGGGCATGTGAGAGACGCATGCATGCATGCATTGCACGCACCCCCTTCCGCTTGCAGAAGCAATCATGCAAACCATTCTGCAATCAACACTGCAAGCATTCTGAGACACTCCTCCTCTTCGAGTGTGTTCTCAAGACACTTACTTGCGAGTAGATTTACTCTTCTTCTGTTTGCTATTGGGGTTCAAGTGACGAGAGGGAAGAAGATGAAACCAAAAGCAGCAGCAGCAGCTGTAGTAGGAAGAAGAAGAAGAAGAAGAAGAAGAATCATCGTCTCCGACAACAGACTTGTTTGACGCTCGCTTTTGTCGGCTGGCCTCCGTTTACGTCTGCTTTAAGTATTTATTGTTGGGCTCTAATGTCCTAAAGTGATTGGGGTCAATCTATCCTGAGATTTCAACTCAGTTTGATATCATATTAGTATTTTAGATATAGAAATTTGATTTATCAAATGATAGTTTAAATATTTTATCTTTGATAGATGAATGTAATAAATAATAATAATAATATATATTTTTAATTTTGTTAAAAAAATTATTACTTCAAACGATATATATAATGCTCGCTCACACGTATATTGACGTATCATGTTGTATAATAATACACTAATCAACTCGGATGTCTCAACATAAATAATAACAAATATTTCAATCCTTGAGTTCCTAAGGATATATATTTTTTAGAATTTAAATTTCAGTCAAATTAAATTATGAGCTAAATTGAATTCATTTTAATCTTATTAATATAAGGTTAATCTCTTAATTCATCTCTATCCTCATCTCATACATAGGAATTTTGAGGATTATATTTTTATATATTTTTTTATTAAAAAACATTTATCCAAACTAGCTTCAAATAATAATATATATTTTTTAAAAAATTAAAAAATTATTACATCAAATGATATACAAAACGCTCACACATTGAGATAATAATACACTAATCAACTTGGATGTCTCAACACAGATAATAAAAAAATATTTCAATCCATGAGTTCCTAATGATATATATTTTTTAGAATTTGAATTTCAGTAAAATTAAATTATGAGCTAAATTGAATTCATTTTAATCTTATTAATATAAGGTTAATCTCTTAATTCATCTCTATCCTCATCTCATACATATGAATTTTGAGGATTATATTTTGATATATTTTTTATTAAAAAACATTTATCCAAAATAGCTTCAAATAATAATAATATATATATTTTATAAAATTTTTAAAAAATATTACATCAAATGATATACAAAACGCTCACACATTGAGATAATAATACAATAATCAACTCGGATGTCTCAACAGAGATAATAAAAAAATATTTTAATTCATGAGTTCCTAATGAAATATATATATATTTTTAAAATTTAAATTATAGTAAAATTAAAATATAAATTTAATTCATTTTAATCTTATTAATATAGGGTTAATCTCTTAATTTATCGTCCTCTTTTCTACTTTTGAGGATTTTATTTTGATATAATTATTTATTTTTTTAAAAAAAATATTTATCCAAAATAGCTTCCAACAACTTTTCACGTCATCAATAATTAGCAACAATAAAATGGATTAATAAATTACTATAGACATAAGTTAAATGCATATTAAATTCACATTTATTGTGGTGTTATAATAGACGATGACATTCTTAATGGCAATTCATTGCATTCACCAATTTTCATCTAAACCTATAAATTCTATTGAACTGAGAATAAAACAGTGAAAGCATCTTTTTCTTCTTCCAATACAGTGAAAGGATCTTTTTCTTCTTCCAATACAGTGAAAGCTTAGTGCTATGGTTGGTGATGAATGAGTTCATTAGTGCAAAAAGCAATGTTGTTTTCTTCTTCTAAAAGAAGAAGACAAGTCATTGTCTCCATTAAGATGATAAAAAAGAAAAAGAATAAAAAGGTACAAAGAAGATCACTACCACATCAAAACAAGGGTCCTGTTTTCCTTTTAACAATACAAAAAAGAGACTAAATTATTCAGTGAAATAGAGAATTGAGATCTCAAAGATCTCCATCATTTATCAGGCTTTTTTGTTCTGAATTATTTGGTATTTTAATTTTTGTTTAAAGTATTTCAAAAGTTATTTAAATCTAGTTTACATACAAAGCAATTTGATCCCCTAATTGTAGTCCACAATTTCCAATCATGTACATAAAATTTAATGCAACTCGAAAGCATTAAAGAAAGCAAAATAATTATAATATTATCCTCCTTATTTAATAAACAATGCTCTCATTCTCATGATTCTCTACTCATCTGTGATGTGACCTCCCATCCCAGAAGAAGTCATATGATGTAACATAGCATTTCTTTTTTCCTTGATTGTA